TGAAAGATAGTTTTGCAGGGTACATCAATGTGGGTTGGAGGCTGTTTTCTTTTAGGGCTTGGAATATGTCACTCCAAGCTCTTCTTGCCTTGATGGTTATGATTCTGAGATTTTAATTACCTGAGGTTATGCCATGGATTCGGGCTAAGAGTCAGGATTAGATCATAGAACAGAATCATTTGTAATATGTAACTCAAATTTTCTGGCAGAGACATCACCTATACTGTCTTTAAAATAAATACTGTGAATTTTATTATTGTTATGAAGACTACATGTGGTTATACATGTAAAGCCCTTGATTTAGTATCTAGTACATAAGGAAAATTCTACTAAGTATTAGCTAGTTTTGCAAAATTTTTATTACATTTTTCCTATCTTCAAATTATTGCCTTTTAGTTGTAGTCTACTTTATTTGCGCCAAAAATAAGTCAGATGTTTTTCAGCTGCCACTGAAACAAGTTAACCAATCTAACCTAATATTTATTGAATGCCTACATTTTGCCAGATTTAAGTTCTTGATATTCTTTGAAGTTATAATAAAGGGTACCTTTTTAAAAAATAAAATAAAATGAATATTGTGGGTTCCACTTTATGATAAAGGATATGCTCCAATTGCTTCTAATTTCATGGCTCAAAGCTAGGTTAAAAACTTGAAAGAAGAGTCATGGCTCCCTTCAAATACCTACAAGGCTGTCATGTGGAAAAAGGATTATGTTTGTTCTTATGGCTCCAGAAGCCTGAACTGGTACAAGTGAGTGGAAAAGAGGAAAACATCAACTACGATGAGAAAGGTCTTTCAAATAATGAAACTTTTGTCCCAAAAAGAAAGTGTAGCCTTGTGAAAGTTAGTTCTTCATGACTCGTAAAGTTTAAGTAGGATTCCATGATCTTGTATTTCTAGAGAATTAATTATTCAAGGTTATTCCATGGGGCTAACTTTAAAGGCCTCCATAAATTCAAGTTTATAAACTTTCGTTAAACTTTAAAAAGAGACACAGACATTTTATTTTATTTTATTTTTCATTTAGTTTATTGGTACATTTTAGGTATACAATACAGTTATATTCATCATTGGGATCTTGTACCTTTACATGGTGTATCTTGGTTATCATTTTTTTCCCCATTTCCCTGCCCTCCCTTCACCCCCTTCACCCTTCCCTATTTACAAAGACTTTGTTTCCACATTTTTCCTTTTCTCATGTTTTTCTTTTCCCTTCTTTCCTTTCCCCTACCCCTCCCACTTCCCCTACTCCTTTAGACATTTTCTTCCTATTTCACAATATCAATTATACATTTTGATTCTTATTTACACTTTCAGTTTTTCACACCAGAGAAACTATTCGGTATTTACACATGTGTGTCCTATGTATTTCACTTCAGAGTATGGCCTCAATGTGCATCCACTTAGCTACAAATGTCTCCAGTTTCTCATTCTTTTTTTTTTTTTTTTTTGGTACTGGGGATCGAACTCGGGTCCTTGTGCTTGCTAGGCAGGCGGCCGAACCACTGAGCTAAATCCCCGGACCAGTTTCTCATTCTTTAGAGACCTAGACATTTTAAATACAGCATTTCAATTGAGCAGTTTAAAGTCATTAAAATTCTAGCTGAAATTGTTATGTTTTTCAAAACCATGAGCTCTATTCTAAATTTTCACCCCAGGCTCTTGTTTGAATTAGGGTTTTTCTTTTACACTCATATATTATCACAACCATTTTTAAAAAGTGAAAACTGCCCTAAAATGTAGTCTAAGGCAATCCTTGAAGAGCACTATTTTCATTGCACAGTTATAAAACTTTATACTAAAGGTATTGCATTTAGTTTTGATGTTTAAATAAATTATAGGAATTCGTTGAAGTAAACGAACATCCTCCTTCCTTTAAATGACAAGTGCTAAGATTTTAATCTATGATCTTAAAATCTTTGAACAAGTTTTTTTTTCTTTGTGACAATTATTTTCTTCTCTAGTTTATGAATAACTTAATGATGAAATAAAATTACGAGTCCTCTCCCTCACCTAAATTGTAACTGTTCCGCAAAGATCCTCTTAAACTTTACTGTCTTTAGTAACCCTTTAAATATGATCCCCTTGTTTTTACCAGAAGGGCGCCTCCTTTTTCCAGGGGATGGGTGGGTGGTGGTGATGGTTTCTGCCTCTTGAAAAACAACTTAGAATCTGAAAAAGGTCGCTGCAGAGGCACAGCAGGCGAGAGTCTAGGACGGGAAGAAATGCATTCTGCATAAATCTAGTTACTCCGAGTCCTCTTTGGACAACTTCCGGGATCACACTTCAGGCAGAGCCTGAAATTATCCTCTTTCCCGTATCTATTTTTTTTATGACTGTACATATTTACATACATTACACATATGGCCAGGGCAAGAGAAAGATGACGTGAGGCTCTAGCTGGAGAATGGGAGGTAGTAAGGAAAGGAAACAGGTGTCAGGAAGGAGCGGTGTCGAGGAGCAGGGCGGTGCGGGCTAAGCCGTGCGCATCGCACTGGTCCTCTGCAGGTGAAGCGGCTCGGGCCCCTCTGGGGGGACGGACCCTTTTGCTTTCTATTTGCTCGCCTGAAGCCCAGGTACACGTTTATTTGAAACGGTCCGTATTTCCCACTCGATAGCTGGTCGGGTTGATTTTTCTAGACCAGTGGATATTTCTTTTTTAATGTTTCCTATTTCTTTTTTGTTGCTGTCTTTTTTGTTGAGGTTGAGGGAAAAGAGACCAGTCGAAATTCAGTCTGGGTGCGTGGGGGATTCTCGGCAATGAGAAAGAGAAGACTTGGAAGCCAGAGGGCAAAGCAGCCTTCCGTCTCCCCTACTCTCCCCCTGTGAGCGCTCGTGGAGACCCCACTGCAGTATCTGATCGGCTCTTCGCCAGCGCGCTACCCGCACTCTCCGCCGCGGAAGTCGGCGCCCAGGCGCACGCGGCTCGGAAGCTCCGCAGCAGGCGCGCCCCCTCCCCGGGGCGGCTTTGCTCCCGGCGGGGCGCAGCGCCCACCATGCCTGGCTGCGGGCGGCTCGCGCTGCTCTGGGCGCTGGCCTGGCTTCTGCGGGGAGCTGCGCCCAGGCGCCTCGCGGAGCCCCCCACGCAGCCCCCGGCCCCGGGCCGCTACCCCCGCGACCCCGCCAGGGGCGCCGATTTCGATCGCGTGTACAGCGGGGTGGTGAGCCTCAGCACCGAGAGCATCTACTCCTTCAACTACACCAGCCAACCCGGCCAGGTAAGACCCGCTCCCTCCCCGCCCTCGACTCCTGCAACTTGCCAGAGCCCCGGGCGCAGCTTTGGGTCCCCCTGAGAATTGACCTCTGGAGACTGCAGGGACTGGGAGATCCTTGTTCTTTTTTGTCCTGCGAAGCAATCACTGCCCTGCCCACGACCCTGCCACCAGCCTCGAGGACAGCTCAGCTTCACCTCTCTCCTACCCCAGCCTGGTCGTTGGCATTTCTGGGCTTTCCAGAGGCAGAGATCCCAGCTCCTTCCACAGGTCCCGGCTCTCCGCTGGGCCTTTCTCTAGGAAAGTCAAGATTTCTAGGTTTGCCAGAGGGTGGGCTGGGCCCGAATCTCTGTTCCTTAATACCCTGAGGGAAAGGGATCCCATTACATTCAGACAGTGTGAGACCCATCTATTTCATAGCGCACTGAGAAGGAAAGCTACTCAGAATCTAAAATGGAAATCAATCCTTTGAGAATGGATGGAAGCTGCAGAACCTGTATGCATTCAATAGTCACTTCCTGCCTTTCTGTACCATTGTCACATGTATGTGCATCAGAGAAGCTGGAAGACCCAGTCAGACACCGAATCTGCAGCCCTCTGCTAAGGTGTCCAGGTTTTGATGTTAAATAGGGGTGAATAATTGTGTGAAACTTCTAGACCTATTTCTGACAAGAGCTAATGCTGAAAAAAGGATTGGTCCAGTAACTGTGACTTTGACATATATACTCTGATTATATAACATAGCGAAATGCATATGGTTCTCTTTTTTCCCTTCCACTACATTACCCTGGGGAGAGGGGTTCTCCAGTGTACTGACCAACCTCTGGATCCTCTAAATGCGCCAATTCCCTACTCTCTTGGGAAATTCCTGAAACAGATGTTTGGGAAACCATTTTATGCTTTGCTCTTGAATTCTCAAAAACCTTGCTTCAAATCTAGAAAGGGCTTACATTGGCCCAGAGGGCCCAGTGTGGCTGTCAGTCCTCCCAGACTTCTTCCAACTGTGTGTCCTGAATTACCCATCCCCAGCCAGGCACCAAGTCCTTTGATGCTGTCACCATGGTAGCACAGCCGTCATCCTTCCCTGTCCTTCTGTACCCTTTAGGCTGTGTGTCCTCTAGTGAACAGGTTGGCTGTGTACAGATCCACTCCACTGTAGACGGTGGGAAGGGGTGTTTTTAATATCCCAAACTCCACATAGCTGACTTCTTCCTATCCAGTGTAGGGTTCCCACAGACTGGGCACATGAGATGTGCTCCTAGCCCTGATTCCCTGGAAAGGGATACATGCCTGCAAACATCATGATCTCTGGGCTGTGGTTTCAGCTTCACCCTAAATTGTTGGCAAGGAAACTCAGATTACATATGCAAAGTAAATCCTGGCATTAGGCTTTGATATTTCTTGCAGTTCTACTTAGTGATAGACTGGCTGCTTTTTAAATGATGCTTTTTGCCTTTTCTTCCTTAGTATTCTGTGAGTTGCTGACTGTAGCACAAATGTCTATTGACAATTGAGGCCACCTGTTTGACTTTCCTAGTAAACCTTAACTAATGGGGGGCAAATCATGCTCACCTCTGTACCCTGGGACCTAGTGCTATGCGTGGCACAGAAGAGGTTTATAAATGTTTTATGCAAAAATAAATAGATAAGTGAATAAGGGGTTAAACAATTTTTAAACTAGAGTTAAATAAAATTAAATGTATATTGTGTTAAATTTAATAGGTTGGAAGGTGTGAAGTTCGTCACTTCAAATAAAAACAAGACTGAATTTTGTTTTTCATAAAACAAATTTTTAAAATTATTATTATACCCTTTCTATTTTACCTCCCTCTGTGCTAAATGGCTTTATTTTGCGAAATAATGATGAGTAGTTTTCAAAATACCTCTGCACAACAAAAAGTTGTCCTTAGATTTTTCACTAAAATGTTACCAAGAAAACCTAATGAGAAATGCAAAGTTGAAAGCCTTAGGACCAGTATAACAAGTACTTCAATAATTTTAACATCAGTATGCACTAAGAAAAACCTTACAACTTCCTGAGACAGACTTAAATTCAAATAAGAGAGTGAAACCTTCAACCCAGGCTACTCTCTTCTCTCCAGCCCTATTTCTGTTGATTTCTCAAGAGAGGACATTTTCCTGATCTGTCTGTCCAAACCCTTACTGTTAGTTACTCTTAGTTACTTAACTAATGGCCTCCTCTCCTCTTGCTCTATTTTGTCCCATGTTAGGTATCAGCTGCCCTTCTTTTCATTGCATGAATATATGGGATGTAGCAGAATTTTACTGAAGGTTTGAATAACACAAGAGAATTAAAGTACAGCACAGGATAAGTAATACATTAAATGAGAAATCTAGCCAACACTGTCCTCACAATTTAGCTATGATCCTCTATTGGGGGCATTTCAAGGTAGTAACCTTTCTCTCTGGCTCTTTTCATCTTTTTGGCCATCCCTGCACTCTCTGACCTCCACCCTCTAAATTTTGGTTACTCTCTTTTGTTGAACAATTTTTGCCTCCATTGCCAACTCCAGACTCATGAAGGTGCTCTACTAAATAAAGATCTATGGTCTCCAGAGCAGAAGCTCAGATACGACTGCTTTGCCTGTAACCTTTCAGCAGGCAAAGCTCCCTCCATGGGAGGTCAGTGCTCACCACCGTCTTCAGTCAACAAAGATTTTGGTTTTAAAAAAATCTTTTTTTTAGCTTTAATTTTTTTCTCCTTTCTCTTCAATCTGCTGTTGTCTGCCATTATTTTTCCTTTGCCTTGAAGAGCAGTCTATTCTAAGTATAGGCTTTGCTGAAGAGAAGAAGGAGTTATGGAAGCCCTTGTTCCTAATCTTTCCCATCAACTACTGCATCTCCTATAACAAATGCTATCACAGAAAATGATTTCACCAAGCATCTATCATACTAAGTTAGATTAATTCAGCACCAAGAAAAGTCTCATGTGCCTTGCAGGCATAGAGAAATGTAAATATGAAGTTGTCATTTAAAAAATGGAATGACTAGTTGAAAAAAGAATAAAAATAATAATTAAAGGTGCAGGTTAGGCAAGATCAGGTTCATTTTCTTTCTCTGGAGAGGAAGTTTCTAGAAACTCTTTTTAAGAGGAATAGGGTTACACTGCAAACAGGATGTTCTATAACCACAAGGCTCAGCCAAATTAGAAGGAAATCTCCTGGTTAGGAAAGTCACCAGGAATGTTTGACTCAACAAGGGAACACAGATAGATTATTGGGAAATGAAAATGTCCTTGCAGAGAGAGACAGAGACAACAATCAGATGTTTCTGCCTGAGCCAGAAGGTGTTGAGAACCCCTTAAATAAAGATCTAGCTACTCTGCAACAGGCTGTCTTCTCTGAGGCTTTCAGTAACAGCATTCAATGTTTGTAATAGAATTTGAAACATTTCCCTGGAAATATCTTTTACTTTCTTAAACTGAGGCATTTATCTTTCAATGACATATATTATACTTGTTTATACCCAAGGAAGATTCAATGGGTATATTAATATCAACCAGTAGTTATATATCTACAGTGAGTTATACTAGTCTCTTAAATCCAGACTTGAAAAGCCTTCCCAGCCCCCATGAATGATGAAATACATATGGGGACACTCTTGTGGTAACTTCTAGCTATACACAGACAGCTCTCCGTGTCTGTTAGTCCCATATCCATGGATTCAACCAATTTAAAATTGAAGACATTCAAGGAAAAAAATCTGTGTCTGTAATAAACATGTACAGACTTTTCCTTGACATTGTTCCCTAAACAATACAGTATGGTAACTATTTAAATGACATTTTATGGCATTCGGTATTATGCATAATCTAGAAATGATTTTGGTAATATAAGGAGGATCTGCATAGATTATAGGCAAATACTATGCCATTTTATAAGGGACTTCAGTGTTCACAGAATCTGAGTAAGGGTTCTAAAGCAAATCACTCACAGGCTGTGAGGAACAACTGTACTGTACATTACACGGAAGAGTTAAAGACTTGGATGTGTTAGTCTCAATTCTTCTACCTGGTGCAGGGAAATCTTGCTCTTCATGTGCTGTATCCAAGAAGCCACCTTTGATATCATTCCACATCCTCTTACTGAAAAGGACTACTTACTGCTCCTTGGAGAAAAGAGTCACCTCATTAGCACATTGTCTGGATGATTGGTCCTGCAATAAGCAAATACCATTGTCAGATCCAGTGTCTAGGGAGGGCCTGCTTCCTAACTTAAAACAGTCATTTTCCTGCTGTGCCCACAAAGGACAAAGAGTGTAAAGAGAAACAAGATCTCCCAGGTCTCCTCTTATAAGAGCTTTTGACCAGCTTCTGTTCCTTTAGAGGAGCTCCCGTCTTCACCTTCACCTTGGGTGTCATCTCCTGGCTTCTGGTGCACACTCTTCAGCCTCTAGCACATTTCAGATAGAATATGGGACTTCTGGGAAGATAGTGGAGGGGTGAACAGCAGAGGAACAGCCTCTCCAAGATTTGCTATCAAGACACTCGAATATAGCAACATGAGGAAGAGAAGAAGGAGGGAAGTGAGTCCCCATGATCCAGCAAGGATCTGAAGTGAGAAAGCAGTTTACAAGCATCAATTTACAAGCATCAACCCAGGAATTAAACTAAAAAAAGAGAGAGAAGACACAGAAGCAAGTTGAAACCTCAGACTTCCAGCTCGCCAAAGGCAAACTCAGGGGACACTGAGATGGAACAGCTGGAAAGCTGAACTCTGTGAAGTAGTAACAGCAGAAGTAACAAAGCAGATGAATGAGGCTGTAGAAAAAATTAAATCAGAAATCGTTTCTCAGATAACTACAGAGATGATGATCATAATGAAAGACATGCTTAGAGAATCTAGAGCAAATACAGATTTAAAAAAAAAATAGAGGAGCCTAGGAAAATGATGGAAACCATGTATGTTCAATATAGGAAAGAAATGGAATCCATGAAACAGATTCAAACAGATATCCAGAGATTAAAAATTCCATTGAAAGTATAT